CTCGTGATACCTTTTATACTTATAAAAAAATGTCGACCACGTACAGAATATAGAAACAAACATTTCAAAACAAACAACGGCTGCAAAAAAAATGCATGTAAATACGTCAATGATTTTATTAAACATCGCGTGTTTTGAAACATCAACATCATGTCGGTCCTATTCCCACGCGCCATTTTCCACATTATGATGCCAAAGTTTATCTAAACATCCCCATACCATCACCAACAGTTTTTGACGTCCATTGAAAAACAATAGATGTTTTACAAAACAATATCGATGTTCTTAAATATGATGAAAAACTTTGTAGAAGCAGTAAATCTGTCTCTTGGTGAAACATAACATCTCAATATTAGTTAAGTATACTGCCTGAAAATTTTGACTATCATCTTAATTTTCCAATCAAGTACTCTCGAAGTCAAGGCTCAAATTGTAGTTTAACAATGTTATCCACGTACAAAATAATCGAAAAGCATAACAGGCACTGGAGTAAAGTTGCGAAAAGCAAAGGTTTCGCGTCCGGCCTTTGGAAGGACAGTAGTGAGAGTCCATTCACTTGTGACTGCGAGCAATCATGATGTAGCAATTAATGATGTTCCAAAATAAAACATCGATGTTAAAAATACATCGACTAACAGCCATCGATGTTTTTGGACGGGATTACAACACTGTTCCAGATTTCGTAAACTAAAAACTTAATTAGACTGTTTCGTATTACGAATTCGCCGTAAATAAGGCGAATAAGGGCAAACCCTATGACACAGTGTTATTTTGTAAGCCATATGTCAATCAAGCGAAAGCCCAATATGAAAAAGAGAAATACAAGGGCTTAGGAGTCATCTCGGAGAGAGATTGTTCATGATGTCGGTGCAAAACAGCGTCATGATATTCAATACATGACATAAAACAGTTAATATGAATATAAACGTACTTATTATGTTTCACTTTTGCAGCATTTTATTTTGAGAATGTTTCATTCGGAAACGATCAACAAAAAAAAATCATCACAAAAAACATCTCATCGTTAAAAAGACGTCAGTGTAATACAAATCGATGTTTTGAAAAACATCGACAGCGATGGCGCATCCCTATATCGAACTGAAGAAATATCGAAAGCAAAAATCGCTTTGTAATATCAATGTTTCTGCTCGAAATATCTATGGTTTAAAACATCCGTTTTTTTTTGCCATTCCCTAGCGTACCGAGTCCTCCCACTGATGTAGCGAACAGGCGGCGGCACAGTAGTGATGCGGATTGCGAGTTTTCAAAACATCGATATTTCTTGTAGAAAGTCTATATTTAAACATATATGTTAAAACACGATGTTTTTTTTTTCTTTCTGGACGTTATGTTTCTCAATGAAAATCTCTCATGATCACATAATGTAAACATTACGTATAAAGTTAACTGAGGTAACACTTTATTCGTCGTTTTAGGACAAGGGATTCTGTTGCACTACCTGCAACGACCAAACTCTCCTAACACACTACCTAGATTTCGTATGCCATTGTATTTCCTCTTTCATATTCATTTTGCGCAGTTAGAGACTAAGTACGCATAAACACGGAACACTGTCACAATTAAAATTTTATCAGCACACGTTTTTATGTTAGAAATACCAATTGTAGTCTAAAATAGGCATGTTTTGTCTATGTATTTCTCAGCATCATGTTTTAATTTTGGCTTCATTCGGCAAATTAAGCTTATTAAATTAAATTAAAATAAAAAATTAAATTTCCATAGTCACAACGAATTTAAAGTTAGAAATACTACCCGAGTCTAATACATAGACTGAAAAAAAATGATGGTTTTTCGTCGATAATATTTTTAATAGTATCGTGTTTAAATTTGGCTTATTCGAAGGATTATGCCCTTAATTAAATATTGTGAACCAATACACATAAAATTAAATTATAGCACAACGAATTAAGTCAAACAGATATAACCGGTCTAAAAAATCGCCCATCCGATTTTCTTATAGCAAGCCACGCGCTCATCGAACAACAGTTGCTGACGTCTCGCTCGACACACGCTCAACGAAGGACAGTCGAGTTCTCGCTCGCCACTGCCGCCGGCTTCTCAGTTCAAAAGCACGATGGAGACGCGTTGCATTTTGGCAATCGATACCCAAGCTTTCATCGAAGATATCAAAGCACATCCTGTTATCTGGGACTTGAACTTAGATGAACATAGGGTGGAAAGTACAAGGTCTCTAGCGTGGGATGCTATATGCTACAAATACATCCCAAACTATGCAAGAAAAAGTGTACAAGAAAAGAGAGATGCAGGTATGTTTTTACTATTTTATGTCCCAAAATAAGTTAGAAATTATTATGCTTCGATTTTTCTACGATGGTCGATAACATTAGGTCGTTGTTACACCGCCTGCCGTATAAAATTAATATTTTTAATTAATTCGCTATTGTCATTTGCGCTCGTGGCCTCAGAAATGAGCTTTTCACTATTAGAGAGATTCATTTTATAAGGCAGGAGGTGTAACAATCGTCTATTGGTATTGGCCACTAGAAAATTCGAAGTATGCATTCTACTACTTCACTCAGAGATATGTTGTTGTATAATGTTTATTGAGCGATCATATAGTAAACACGATTATTAGTGTGGTAATGATTCGCTAATCATGATTTAGTTTCGTTTAAGTGAATGAATAAAGAGAATTGTCAGTGGCACCATAATTATTTCGTACATAAAATGATTCGGTGAGATCTACTATGCGCACACGTTTTCTTGTTCAGCAATGTGTTTTCCACTGTTAAAAAGATTAATTTTTATAAGGCAGGATGTGTAACAATGATTTAATGTCATCGACCACTATACAAAAATGAAGTATACATTCTACTACTTCAATGAGAGATATGTTGTTATACAATGCTCGGTAAGAGATCATATAGTAAATACGATTATTTGTGTGGTAATGATTCTATCATGTTCATCATTCTATCATATTCACTAATCATGATTTTGTTTCGTACATAAAATGATTCGGTTAGATCGTTTTCTTGATCCTAGGTTCCCAGTTCTCAGTCTGGCACAGCACGCCCTGGTAATATGATTTCCAATCGAAAATTCGAAACGTCACGTCTCAGTTTCCAGTGTTGCCAACCGTTTCCTTTTATTGTGTTGACATCTCAGTTTTCGCTCTTTCTTTCTAACGACCTCTGGCGTTTGTCTTATCTCGTAGTGTACATTCATCACCATCCCCACCAAAAGTTATTTGGAACCGTTTTTGAGAACATCTTCTTTTCGTTACGTTTAAAACTGCCCATATTGCACGCAATATTTTGTGAAAACTGCTGAAAGTTTCGAAAACATGTGCAACCCGTTTCTAAAAGAACAAATTATGGAGAAGAGATTTTATTTGAAGGAAATAATTTATATATTCAATTTTGAAATTGTAGGAAGACGCAGAAAAAAATTACTTTTGCAATTAACGAAAATTCAGAGTTAACAGTGATCATCAGACATATGCTTTATTTACAAGTGTATTTTACTCTATTCTTACAAGACATTTAAAGAAAACATTGGAGCAATTTTTGAGGTAATTTTGAAAATGTCTCGAGGGCTTCTTATAAAGAACGTTAAAAAATGAATGAATGTGTTTCAAATTCACAGAGTGACTCAGGCATGATAAATCGGGATTTATCACTTTAAAAAAACGTATGCATAGTTTAGGCGCTAGTTTTGTTGACATACTGAAGAGAGGCGGACGGGTTTTTTGCAACTAGCGGTGACACAGAATGGCACAGACTTTCCCGTGTTTGTTTTCCATTTCCTTTGGTCTCGGCTATCTATACGAACTTTGCACACACTCTTGACAGCTGCCTTCTACCGCCTCTCAAAATTGTGTTTTTGAAATGGGTTTTGTCGTTAGCAATACCTGTTTTTTGTTTATTAAAAAAAAAAAGATTGCAAGCCTTAAATTTGCGAAAATGGCGCGATAATTAGCCTCTAATTGTCCTTTCATTTTGCATATAATGATTTTTGCAACTTAAAAGAATATAGGAAAAATTGCAAAGCCTTAAATTAGTGAATAGGGTTCTCAATTAGCCTATAATTAACCTTATGTACCGTAATAATGATACTGATGTAACCTTAAAAATAAGAAGAACCAGAAAATATCATCAACATTTTAGAAACATATTACTTCCAAGCACTTCCGTTGTCATGTCACTATCAGATAGAATTAGCAGATAGTAACGAGCTCTCCTATTCTCTATTTCAATTTTCATCTGATAACGGCATTTGTCTTCTTTGTAAGAATTCATCTTTTAAGGCCTTTATCCCAAATAAAATTAACAAAGGTTTGTTTTTTTAATATGTTCGTACTATCGGAGCGATTTCAAACTGGTGTAATAGCGTACTGGCAAGCTGCATCCCGATTCCAACGCCGCATCAAACAACGAAATCGGAATAACAAACACACTGTGTAATTGAAAAGTGAGAGAAAAGAGAGGAACCTTAGTAACGTCAGATGTCACTTGCGTGGAACTGCCCGACAACCTCATGGCATACGATTGTGGTAGGTGCAAGCGGGAGAGGCGGTTTATAGGCTGGTGATTGTATATTGTTTATTATTATTATTATTATTATTATTATTAATATTATTATCATTATTCATTATTTTTATTATTATTAGTCTGGTTTCATCCCATTAATGCCACAGAGCCCGTGCATGCAGGGTGGGTGGCTTATTATTAATTCTTAAATTTATTGCAGTTTATCGTATATTATTCGCAGTGGCGTGCATTCTACCCCAGCACTGTTAGGGTAAGCAGGAATGGGAATTTAATGGATATTGAGAATTAAAATTACGATGAACCGTATGTCACAGGATCAAAAATATTGCGTCCACTGTATAATCTACTGCGGTCTTGGCGCCGGCCATCAAACACATTGCTCTGTTCCAGGAGCGCTTTAGGGCTTCTCCACACGTAGACACTGTGCCGCGCTTCCGATAAGCAGCAGGGCTCTTCCTTCTGGCCACAGCCGCATGCCACTACTTCCCAGAACAGTCTTGAACTCGACGTGGGCGCAGGGTTGGCGAAGGTTCACGTGACGCAGATACAAACGCCGGGGCGCACTTCCATCAGTCTCATCGCACAATGGAGTCTGACGAGGAACAAGCAGAATCTTTGCAGTTTTTTCACCTCAGAAAGAGCGGCACAAACGTCAAAATTGCTGCTTCCCAAGCATTATTTTTCCCCTCAGCGGTTTGTTGGAATATTCGCCACTTCCGCATTTCATATTGATGAATGTGTCGCAATAACTGTTATTAAAACCTCGGTGTTGATTTCCATTCTGCTGAGGATGCGTACTGACAAAAGGTGGCCAATATCTATAGTACGTTTTATTTAGTCGTGCACTTGACGTAAATCAGCTGTTGTTGTTTTATCCCATCATGGGCTTACATGTCTCTACAGTGACATTACTATTGTGACGTTCTCCCTCCCATTTGGTTTGAACTATTAACAGCTGTTTTACAAGTGCGTGGTTAAAAATCTCAAAGTATATAATAATAGTAATAATAATAATAATAATAATAATAATAATAATAATAAATAATAATAATAATATAAAAATTCTAATTCATGTAATATTAAATTACCTTAAAAAACTTTTATAATAATAACATTTATATAATAATAACTTTTTTTAAACCACCGCACTGAATGTTCAAATTAAGACCACCCTGAACTGGCACTGCACTGCACTGCACTGCACTTCACTTCACTACACTTCACTTCACTTCACTTCACTATTACCCTTAAATCACTTTCCTCACAATGCTTTGGCTCTTGTCGCAACCCCTTAAATTTGAAACCTATATTTTACTTTTGGGAGTACTTTACAGGACGTCCCAGGGACATTTTCAAAATTATCAAAAAAAATGTTATATCGTTTTTGATAAAATATTGTTGTTAGATAGTGTGATGGATGTATAAGAGAATAGTCCAGGTTTCATGATCATTGAAAACTGTGTTTGAAAATTACAAAAGTTAAAAACTTTTTCGACGTCTTCCTACAAATTTAATTATTCAAGAATTCTTTTCTTAAATGAAATCTTTTCTTTAAAGATTGATTTTCAAATTAGGTCAAGAAAAATTTTTGTAAAGTTGGAGTAATTTCCGCGTAACTTTGCGTGAATATATAGGCAAGAAAGAACGAGGTTTCAGTACCACTCGAAAATAAGGGTAGCCCCTAGTCTACATTTAAACAATTCCGCTATTCAACACCTTGCCATGTAGCAGAGCCCTGTGCAGTTGCTAAATCCACAAAAATTATTAGCGTGTTGCTACATTTGCTTTTTCGTCTCCTTCAACATCAGGTTTCGGCCTGTTCCGTCATGTTCAACGTTAATGTCATCGAGTCTTCGGTCTTCCTACTCTTCTTCTGTAATCCAGTACATAATTTTTTATTTGTTTAGGGAGTCTGACGTCGTTCATTCTAACATTTAGGTTGTACCAATTTTGTTTCTGGTTTTCGACTGTTTCTAGGAGGTTAAACATTTTGAGTTCTTATCGTATGTCCACATTTTCTTACGATCTAGTGTAGGTAGCCACACGTTGGAGGAACTTCATTTCGCTAGGTTTAATTTTTTTATGATATATTTAATGTTCAATTTTTGCATTTTTGCATTGGAAGCGTTTTATAGAATTTGAACGTGTCTGTCTCTACATGTTTTATCTACACAATAGGACATCAAGATAGCTTTCTATTAGATATGACACACTGCAGCCTAAGTAATGAAAGGTGCAAACTTGCTGTACATTTTTATAATTTAGAAATATTTTGCATCTGGCGGGTTCTGTGCCTACAAAAGCCATGGTTTTAAATACTACATTTTGGTCTTTTCTTTATTTCAGTTGCCACGCTTCAGCGAAAATGGAAAAGTCTTCGCGACAGTTTCACAAGGGAACTAGCAAAGGTGGAGAATTCCAAGGGTAAAAATGACCCAGCAACTTTATACCGAAAGCCATATTACTATTTTGAAGAATTGTCTTTTCTACTTGGCGCAATCGCTCCCAGAAAACGCAAAGGTGTAGCGGACAAGCCGGAACCAGAAGCCGGCCTGACACAGCCGAAACCACAAGAAACAACAGTTCCCCGGATTGCCTCTGGAAATCCTATACCAGAAAATCATTCAACGAAGAAAGAGAAAAAGTCTCATATTTTCATTGAAACTGATAATAAAATTGTAACTGTAAATAATTCTCAGAATCTGAACGAAACTCAAACACATCAAATGGGGGACGCGGATCGCAACTTTGTATTATCTTTGATTCCGCACCTGAAGCAAATACCGGAAGAATACAAATTAGATGTCCAGTCAGAGATACTATTGACAATGAAAAAATACAAACCATATGGGAGACAAATGTATAATCAACCGTACGGTTATTGTCCCCCATCGTTCAGTCTACCTCATCAACCTATTTCAACCTCACAAATAGCACAGTCTACTCCTCCTGCTCAACCTCCTGTAGCAACTCATTCGTCTCGTTTTCTAAAAACTAGGATTTCTAAAAACGCTAAGTGTTCTAAAAAAGCACCATCCCCTGTTATTTCTACAGGTACACTGGGATCTACAGATGATGATCCAGTTATTGAAAATATTGTATAATTGTTTCTTCCCTTTTATTTTTAGAGTGTAATGTTAAAATGATTTATTAAATATTATAAATTTGTAAAGAAATTATTTTGTTTCTTTTCCAAATGAAACCTCATATTAAGTATTACGAACAAATTAATTATTACAGGTCTGCACTAATCTTTAAATTACACGCAAACTTCCTGCAGCGGTAGTACTTCTTGAGTCTTGTATATTTCCGTTTATAGTCACATTTTGGTTAGGAAATTAATTCATTAAAATAATTCATATTCACCCTATAGTACCTGACAATTTGTTCTTCACTCATTAAACAATAAGTCCAAATGTCCACGTCTTAGCTGTGAAGTTAAAAGTGGATATATGCAAACAATGATTGATTTATTGCAATTGATGATTTCTACTCCTAATAGTACCACAGTTCATTAGTCCCGTAAGTATAGTGAAGGTTTTTTTTTCCTCTGAAGGCGCTGGTCTTCTCCCGCTGGATAGCGCGATCCGGCGATTTCTGCAAGCCGGAATCTCCCATCAGCGTGGCACTGTCCCAGTCGGGAAAAGCCCTAAGCTCTGGACTGGTATCCCGGTATGTGCGTTAAGGCCCATCTACATTGCAAACGTAAACATAAGCATAGCGCATAGACATAAACATTAGCATAAGTCATAGATTGAAGTATTCACAATGTCTAACATAAACGTAAGGAAAATAAGAGTTTCTATTGGCTGTGAGACATTCTGTTTTACTATTGGATGTGAGAGTCAGTTACATGGTATCGACTGTGTCCATAGCCCTTATGGCGTTAGTTCTTTTATCGACTTCGCTCCAATTTCGAATCTCGATTTTGAGTGACCGTTGTGTGATAGATTCATTTAAACTTTAGCACAGAGGCTTGCAAGTTTTTAAGTTAACGTCTTACGCGTTATGCTTATGCGAATGCATTGTGAATGAGTCCTCTTATTGACGTAGTCCTGACTTTTAAGTTAACGCCATGCTCATGTTTATGTGAGCATTGTGAATGGGCTTAAGTGTAGTACGTGTAAGTGTACGTAAGGAGTGAAGATAGGACAAGGTAGATGGAAGAATGGTCACGTGCGGTCCGTGGTCAGTTTGTTGGAGTTCTGCTTCGGCATCCACCTGATGTTGATCAGAGAAACCACGCTAACGTCTTTGAATTTCAAGTAAAACTAGTTGTAACACAGCGCGTTCATTCTCACCCGTATTTTCAGACGGACGGGCGCACAGACCAAAGATTTGCGGTCATTCGTTTTTTCCGTATGAAGGATACACAAAACATGGATTCTGGTTACACCATTTGATAGAGTATTTCTTTCTTAACTTAGCAATTGCATTTATCCATTTTCTCGTTAGGCAGGGACCTGTAATAAGACTTTTTCTCCCAAAAATTCGCGTTTTTTTACGCGCAGCATTACATGACTTCTCTCTACCCCGTAGAGAGAAAGTAAAAAGCCTTCACGCGCATCTGTTGTGAAATTCCGCAGCAAACTGCAAAGAGGAAGAAATGGGTCCACTAGTGGCTGAAAGAAGCCGCAATGGCGGCCCTCACATTACCTCGTCTACACGCTGATGCAGACGGTTTGTGGCCAAAGGCTAGTGGTCCTAAAGCGGGAAAGAGCACACTCAAGCGGCGTTCGCATAAAAATTCAAATTTTGTCACATTATTCATTTTATCAAATAATTAGTATTATGTTTCATAAACAAAACACAAAGTACCAGACTTGACGTCCCAGGGACCCTAAGAAGTAAACAGTTTGAAGTTACTCCTTTTTATTTTCACGCCCTTACGAATGTAACAAGAAACAGTGTAGTAATCGTGTTCCGAAAAACTGAATTTTCAACACAAAAACTCATTGGCGGGCCCTGCTAATGAGAAAGTTTATATATCCTGTTCCTATAAATAGTAAATTACTTCTAATACTAGTGAAGCCGGAATCCATGTTTCGTGGTTTCTTGATACTAAACAATTGATTGACGGCAAAGCGTATATCTGTTGTCTGTCCGTCTTTTTATGGTCATCTTTAGCACCTAAACCATTCAGATGATTTTCTTCAAAATTGATTTTTCGACGCGAGCGAACTCCAAGCTTTGGTAGTTTCAAACAGATATTTTGATTTTTTGAGGGTACTTTACATGTTTCAGATCTCTTGTTTGTTGAAATTCTTGAGTTTTTCGAAAAATGCAAAAGTGAAATTTATTCGGCGTCTTCGTACTACTACATTATTAAAGGTAGAGATTTTTTCCTTCAATGAAATGGTATTCTTGAAAGACAGATCTTGAAATAAGGATATGGTCAATTTTTTCGAAACTTTGAGTAGTTTTGGCGTAACTTTGCGGGAGATACAGCCAATTTATTTTTTTAAATTATTTTTCAGAAACTGCTCGAAATTTTTTCTTTACATTTTCTCCTCCAATGTTGTACCTCAAGGGACAGTAAAAAAATAAAGGGGTAGTCCCATTTTTGGCAAACTTTCATAATTTTCGAAAATTGAAAAATAGTTAACATTTCAAAACTACGCTTGTTAAAGAATATGCAAAAAATCGAATTGAGCTGAGGGCAGAGAAGTGGAACGAAATTCCTTAGTAACAACGACATTATCTTAAATTAATACTCCAGGGCCAACATTGCATTTAACTCGTATCATTTCACATTAATACGTAGGAAGATCTTTCTAATTTGAGATAAGAGAATGACTCAGAAAAACATGTATTTCCTATCTGAGAAACATATAAAATCTTAAAATTATAACCCATTTTGTATAATAAATAACAACCACACACAAAAAAATTGTCTTCGTGACTGAGAATCAATCCATGTTTTTCTTTATGTTTTTGGAGGCGCTTAATCCGAATCTGATGTCTATTTTACTCCATCACATTAGGTTTTTGATATAATCTCAAAAATATAAACAATTAAAGATATTTCCAACCGAGGGTCAAACCATGTTACATATGTTTTTAGTGTCGCTGAAACCATATCTCAGGTCCATGTAACTTCATCACATCACATATTTAATTTCACATCAATTCTAATTGATATAAAAGGTAGCTTTAGCCCTTGACGGGACAACTCTGATCACGATGATGTATGGCAGATTGCCTTTGGATGTGATGAATTGAAATAGACCTTATATTCGGTTTAAGCAACCCCAAAAACGTATATGTAACATGATCTGACCCCTTAGTTAGAAATATGCGGATGTCTATGCTAAACAAGGTAAGCATTGGTGGTGTTATGTTAAACATAGTTTCTCGCCCACACTTTCAGGCAAAAAGTACTTCAATTTTGGAAAAATTGTATTCGTCTTTATTGCAAAATCTCTCTTTAAGGCACAGATTTTACTAAGGAAGAAACACGATCTTTATTATTTTAGTTGTTGGAAAACTCCGAAAAATAGTTGAACTTTTTCAATTTTCGAGAAATCAGGGTTTTAAACGAACTTGAGACCTGCACCATTCTCTTATACGTCTATCACACTATCCAACAGTAAAAATTAATCAAAAACGGTGAAACTTTTTTTTATTCTGAAAATATCCCAGGGACTTCATGTAAAGTAGTACCCAAAATTAAAATATCCGTTTTAAATTCAAGGGACCACGACATCAGTCAGATCATTTGGGAATTGTCAATTTTTGTGAAAATCGGATGAACGGTCTGGTTCATGGACCGACAGTCGTTTGCGGCCATTCGATTTTTTGGTATCTAGAACCCTCAAAACAAGGATTCTGACTAGACAATGTGTTAGAGGATTTCCCCCCTAAAAATTTAACCACTGGGTTTATCCACTTTTTCGTTATCAGAGCCTGGTAATAAGCGTTTTTCTGCCAAAAATTTTCCGTTTTTTCTCGCAGCATTGCATAACTTCCTCTCTTCTGCGCAAGCGGTGGCGAGGAAGTACCAAAGTAAGAAAATGGTCCACCATTGGTCCTGGTCCGTTCGAAAAATCTGTGTGGTCATCTGGACACGTCAACGAAGAAGAAGACCTAGTGAATTAAATATGTTAGGTTTTGTTTGTACGAGTACATTGGGTCCTAAAGGCCCATTCACAACGCAATCGTCAACATAAGCATTACGCATAGACGTTAACATTAACATAAGTGATAGACTGAAGTATTCACAATGTCTAACATAAACGTAAGGAAAATAAGCAAGTTTTTAATGGCCCTGAGACATTCTAGTTACTATTGGTTGGATGTCAGAACCGATTTTGAGGTATGGACATGGCCCAAATGACGTTAGTTCGTCTATCGACTTCACAATTACGATTCTTGATTTTGATTTACTGCACTGCGATTGGTTTATTTCTTATGTCTTACTTAAGCATATGCTCACAAGATTCCAAGCTTTAAGTTAACATTTTAAGAGTAATATTTATTCGAACCCATTATGAATTAGTCCGCTTATGGATGTAGTCCTACCTTTTATGTTAACGCCATGCTTATGTTTGCATTGTGAATGGGCTTTAAAGATCGACCTCATCCCTAAGTTTTCGGATCTCATACCAGTTTAAAATTCCTGCTTAAAGTAATGCTCCTCAACTTTTTACTTTTTTAAAAAAATAATATAATAATTACGTACAGACTATTGTGTTCCTATTGATTCGTGGGTGCCAGCGTCCAGCCTTTACATACGCACGTATAACTAACTACTGCAATTATACGTAAGCATGCATGCATGATGGTATGTCTGCCAAGGCTCCAATTTGCATTGGTTCGCGTTTTAGATGACCTGAAGGGACTGCCATTTGCAGTTGAACACACATATGTGTGGCAGTTCCAGAAAATAATTTGAGTGTTAAATTTTTAAATTAGTTTATTTTCTTATTCATTTTGATTACAAAACCTTTATTATTTCAATATTGCTGTAATTTCATTAAACGTAGAACAACTAAATACATTCATTTAGGCCTGCCCCAAAGGAGTGGGGGACCCAGCCATCAATTGGGGCGGGGGATTATAGATTTGTATTAAATAATAAACAATATAAAAAGATAAATAATGAATTAAAATAATAATAAATAAACAATAAATAAAATGAAATTTAATTAACATATTTCTTATTATATTGTAT